GGGTTGAATGGTGATTGATGTACGGTGAGTAATAGATAGAGTTCCTTTGAGATGACTAACAACTAACTAACTACTACTAACTACCTACTAACTAACTACCTAACTAACTAACTAACTAACTACTAACTAACTACTACTACTAACTAACTAACTAACTAACTAACTAACTACTAACTAACTAACTAACTAACTAACTAACTACTAACTAACTACTAACTAACTAACTACTAACTAACTAACTACTAACTAACTACTAACTACTAACTACTAACTAACTAACTAACTACTAACTAACTAACTAACTAACTAACTAACTAACTACAACTAACTACTAACTAACTAACTAACTAACTAACTAACTACTAACTAACTAACTAACTAACTAACTAACTAACTAACTAACTACTAACTACCTAACTAACTAACTAACTACTAACTAACTCCTACTAACTAACTACCTACTAACTAACTAACTAACTAACTAACTAACTAACTAACTACTAACTAACTAACTAACTAACTACTAACTAACTAACTAACTACTAACTACTACTAACAACTAACTAACTAACTAACTAACTAACTAACTAACTAACTAACTAACTAACTACTAACTACTAACTAACTAACTAACTAACTAACACTAACTAACTAACTAACTAACTAACTACTAACTAACTAACTAACTAACTAACTAACTAACTAACTAACTAACTAACTACTAACTACTACTAACTAACTAACTAACTAACTAACTACTAACTAACTAACTAACTAACTAACTAACTAACTCTACTAACTAACTAACTACAACTAAACTACTAACTAACTACTAACTACTAACTAACTACTAACTAACTAACTAACTAACTACTAACTAACTAACTAACTAACTAACTACTAACTAACTAACTAACTAACTAACTAACTACTAACTACAACTAACTAACTAACTAACTACTAACTAACTAACTAACTAACTAACCTAACTACTAACTAACTAACTAACTAACTACTAACTAACTAACTAACTAACTAACTAACTACTACCTAACTAACTAACTAACTACTAACTAACTAACGACTAACTACTAACTAACTAACTAACTAACTACTACTAACTAACTAACTAACTAACTACTAACTAACTACTACTAACTAACTAACTAACTAACTAACTAACTAACTAACTAACTAACTAACTAACTAACTACTAACTAACTAACTACTAACTAACTAACTAACTACTAACTAACTAACTAACTAACTAACACTAACTAACTAACTAACTAACTAACTAACTAACTAACTAACTAACTAACTAACTAACTAACTAACTAACTAACTAACTAACTAACTACTAACTAACTACTAACTAACTAACTACTAACTAACTAACTACTACTAACTAACTAACTAACTAACTAACTAACTAACTAACTAACTAACTAACTACCTACTAACTAACTAACTAACTAACTAACTACTAACTAACTAACTACTAACTAACTAACTACACTAACTAACTAACTAACTAACTAACGACTAACTAACTAACTAACTAACTAACTAACTAACTCTAACTAACTAACTAACTACTACTAACTAACTAACTAACTACTAACTAACTACTAACTAACTAACTACTAACTAACTAACTAACTACTAACTACTAACTAACTACTCTAACTAACTAACTAACTACTACTAACTAACTAACTAACTAACTAACTAACTAACTAACTAACTAATCAATGCGAAATACTGTCCTCTTTTTGGGAGTTTCCAAATTTAGATATGACATTTATAAGTCCGTTAAAGGAAAGATATGGGCCCGAAGAATTTAAGTTTAACGGTAGCAAGATTATGGTATAGAACTATTAATCAGGACAAGGTATTGGTTAAATTCTCAGCAAAAGGAAGTTCCAAAGAAGTAAAAAAGTAGTAGAATTTACTTTGTGGAATTTCGGAAGACTTGCAGAATTGAGGATTTTAACACAAGCTGGTCATAGGAGGGTATGTAATTTTTTATGATTCCAAATTTCCAGTTCCAAATTTAGTACTAATTAAGTCAGGAAATAAGTAATCTTAACAAAGACACATAGAACAAAACATATGTATATCTTCAGCTTCTTCGGAAGTCATATAAACATCATTTCCACAGAAGCTAAAACAAATTCATTTAGTGCTATTTGGAAGTGGTGATAAATGTTATTCTTTTGTAAGTAGTTTGTTGTATTTTAGCTGGTGCGGTATATAAAAAGATCCTATGTGTGGTATAAGATAGGTATCAATAAAAAAATAACGTATCTTTCCGCTGTGGAAAACTAAGGACCTAGTAAAGGACCCTAAAACAACTTTAAGTTGTAAACACCATAAAAACTAGGGAAACAGTAGTAGCATAACATGGACTCAAAATTACACCAGCAAGGACGACATACTACAAAAAAAATTTAAATTGTTTAAACCATTTTCGAAGGAAATTATAATAAAGCGATTAAAACAAAAGCCCATATAATTAAAACACCCTACTAACTACAATACATACATATATATGGATGTATGTATGTATTTATGTATGTATTTATATACAAACATACGTACATTGTTACATATTACTTTCCAAAATTCAAATGTATATCTTTCTAATCTGCAAATTTTGTCAAAAAAAAAAAACCTCACATATTGCAACATTTTGTAAAAGAAATCCAATAAAATTGAAGAATGAAAACAAAATCAAATTAAAAACTGCAAGATCATCAAACTGCAAATGTTTTAGCTAGTTCAACAAAAAATTTTTTTTTTCAAAATTTCTTAAAACTAAAAATTAAGAGAAAAAACACCAACAATTTATATGAAAGCATATTAAACAATGAAAAACTTAATAAAAAAATCCAATAGGAAGGCGTGTTTAAAACAGTAAAAGATTACAAAATGAAACCACACCTGAATGTAAAGAAACAAAAAAAAAATAATAAAAATCTATTGAGGGTTTTTTACAGAAACAAAAAAGTTCCCAAAAAAAACAAAAACAGAAACAAAAATCAGGGTGCTGTGTTGAAAAAAAACAACAAAAAACCAGAAATTTTTAGAGAAGGGGGAAGTATAGCAAGATAACAAATTTAACACACCTTATTAAACATTGTATAATAATGGCAAGTAAGCTATGAAGCAACAACAACAATACGAATACAACAACAATTCTAGCAAAAGCCATTAAGAGATTTCCAATGGAATAGTTCAAACCACAAGAAAAGCAAATAACAACAAACCAACAACTACGTGTTTGTTTTCTTTGTTTACATTTAAAGGGGAAATTCAAGTGCAATGGGAATAATAAGAGGGGTTTTGTTGTTTTCTTTGTTTTTGTAGAGAAAACTAACGAATAATAACTGCATTAAAGAGAGAGAGGTTGTTGTGGTAACAAAAACCTACCCCCCTTAAAATAACGATTTGTGTTGCTGTTTAGTATTTTCAAAACAAACTAACGAGTAGAGAGTGTTTTTATTTACTCTCTCTGGTTTGGTGTGTCTCTATTATTTGGTGTGTGTGTTTGTTGTTATTTCAACTCCTGCTCCTCCTTTAAACAGTAAAAATTGTTAGTGTTTTTGCTAATGGATAAAGCTGTTTCACTCTAACATATTTGTTTGAGGGAAAAAGAAATATAGAATTCGTTTTTTCTTATTGTTAAATTGTTGTTGCTTTTTTAAGTTATAGGAATTGTTGTATGAAACCAGCAACAACAAAAGTTATAGTGAGAATTTTATTCAAACAACAAATTTTTGGGTTAAATCAGCCGTCTACAACTAGTTTGTGTTCGAACGTGAATAAGTACGCATCGGTGTGTTACACAATTGAATTAGAATTTTAAAAAAATTATAAAAAAATTGTGTAAAATTTATATGAGAAAAAAAGAAACGGGAAATTTTAACGAAAAATATCAACTAATGAATTAAGAAAACAAAACACCGGTGTTTATTAAAATATTAAAAAAATAAACATTTTATAAAACAAAAATTAACATTGTAAACATTTTTTTAAGAAAAAAATATAACAAATTTTGTAAATTATACCAAAACCTTTAAAAAAGAACAAAATTATAAAATTAACATTAAATAAAAATTAAAATTAATACTTTACACTTCCCACTGTTTGTTTGGTGTTTTCTTTGCACTAGATTTGTTCAAAAATAATTGTTATTATCTTAAAAGATTTGTTGTGACAATTTGTTATCATCTTTGTTTGGTTACACAAACCATCTACAACAAACATTTCACATTGTTCAAGTGTCATTGTCATCATCAACATCACCACCAACAGCAGCAGCAGCAGTATCATCTCATACACACACAAACACTGCAAAAAGCTTTAACAACATAGATCTCTACAAAATACGGAAACGTTAACAATTGTCGTTAACTTGATTTTTATCCTTTTTTTGTTGTTTCTTGCTGATTGTAGTCATTGTTGTTACTTGCGTTTTATAACACATTGTTCCATACTAAGCTCTCTCTGGCTCTATATGCTGCTGTGTTAAATTTCCGTTACAAAAAAAAGCTAGAAAAAATACTAGCAAAAAGAACAGTTATATCTAAAAGGATTCTGTTTTTTCACTCTACAGTTGTATACTGAGTGTGAGTGTGTGTGTTCATAACAGTGTGTTCTACAATAAAAATAAAAAAAGTACAAGTTTTTAAAAAAAAGAGGAAACGTATAAAATTCATAAATCCTAAAAGCTTTTGTTGACAATTATCACACATCGTTTTTTTGTTTGTTTTGTCATTCTTTCGTTGTGAAACTTTTATTTGTGTATTTTGGGTGCATATGGCGTTGTGTGTGTTGTGTTAAAAGTTAAACAAAAAGGATTTAATTATTTTGGCTGTTTGATTTTGTAACTGGTTTTACGTTTTAACCATTTTAACAAATATGGCTGCCTATACACAATTTGGATATGGCTCTTATCCGTCGGCTAATCAGGTAAGTTTAAGTTGTGTTTTTTCTTTGATTATTTAGAAATATTTATAATTTTGTATTAAAAAGGGGGTTTAGTTTTGTAGTATACAATTTTTCAATTCACTATTTGTGTTGCAGAGTACTAGGCGTTGTATGTCAACAGTTGCTGCAATAGTTATTTTTCGTATTGTCTTACAATGAATTTTTTAAGAATTTAAAATAGTTTGTAAGGATGTTGTATATTACACCAGATCCTTAGATATACATTAATACATCTAGATCACTATCGGGCCTGTTGTAAGCTTCTTTACCAGGCTTTATGATAGAAATCAAATCCACTGCAATTGAACTGTTGGACCTTAACACTACCAACTAATTACATATGAAAATCTAGTTATTTTATTTAAATTGAATGATCAAATAGCAACTATATTTCCAGCAGTAGGTCTATACTTCTCTAGTACTATTTTTGTTTTGTTCATTACTCACTCTTAAGAGATTAGTGTGACCAAGGTATTTTTACTTATGCTTCAGTTATTTCTTAGTTTGAATGGAGAATTAATGTTATTACCGGACCACTCCACTCATCAGATGTAGTATTGTATTATTGTATTAGTATTAGATCCAGCCTGTAGCAGTAAGAAATCTCAAGATATCATTAAACTTAGATTCAGATATCTCACCAAGGTGAGATATGTAGTAACTGTCAAGAAAACGGGTTTGGATAGAGCACGGTATTCGCAGAGAAGATGTAAGACCGTTTCTTTCTTTTTCCAGTCTTTGCAACTGCAACAGTGTTCATTGAAGGGTAGCCCAAACCAACTTGCATGTCTGACTAGCATTAAAATCTGAGGATACTATTCTTGATAAATCCTAACGGGGTTGCTACTGGAACGGCGTAGAGCAAATCCCGTTCTGGCAAGCTCATCTGCCTGTTCATTTCCATAATAGTCCCTATGAGCAGGGACTGTCAGACATTATCTCGAATTATCGGGTCTATTATGCACTCCTTTACCAGAGTTTCTGGTGTGAAGCCAGAAACTACTCCGCATAAGCGTGTAAAGGTTACTCCTTAAAGGACTGAACAAAGAACTAATCCAAATATATGGAAAAAACATACTCCATTTAACATTGTGATGTCCTAATTGAGGACCACGTAAGTCATCAATGCATTTCAACGGAGTAATTCCAAAACTAGTTTCTTGCTGAAATTATGGGAGTACATGATCCACAATATGGTCCTATGTAATGTATTACATAGGACTACTAAACGGATAATGTACTCCAATAATGTTTAAAGGCGAGTAGTTTTTGGATTACTCTAGGGTTGGAGTATAAGTTTGATTTCATATGATTCTTAATTTAAAATCAAACCTCCTTGGAAGTTACACTTCCAAAATACAGTCTTTGGAGGTTTAAGTTTTAAGTATAGGTCGCGTTACATCTGATCATAATTGGCAGCTTCGTGAGGGTCAAATATGCAACGATTACATGATTTATTCGAATAACACGATTTTTTCTAAAACGTAATTCGTGCAAAACCAGGGATAGGTGTATTCCAAAAACCAATAGCTATAGCATGACAAACAGTTAAAACCAATTAGAATACATTTAAAGGAATTATTTTTTAATGTTTAGACGGTTTTTGATATTAATCAGTAAAATATTTTCAAATTATGCTATAGAGTATTGTAGGTAATGTAGTTATTTCATACATTACTTGGTAATGAGTGCATTAATTAATGTTTTCGAATAGGATTTGTCTATAGCGTATGTTTAATAAGGAATTAGTTTGAGGTTCTAACACTAATCAATATTATTCGTTTTTTTTAAAGAAATATTGATTTTTTTAATTTGTGTAAAAACCAATCCAAATAACATGTTAAAATAACTTGTTAATTGAACATTGATTAAGCGAATATAGACTAATAAACGTAGAAAATAACTGTTAAGTCGGATTTAAATCCGTAAAAGTCGGGTGAGCATATTTGTAACCAGTTATTTTTTGGTCATCATCTAACAAAAATAAGTTGTTATTCACACAAAAAGTAAGCACTTAAACTTTGCTCCAATATTATTTGTCTATTTACCGGGTAACTATAAAACTAAACAATTTACTCCACATCTTCCGAAACAATTTCACAAAACCCTTTCCCTTTAGTTTAATCTTGCTACATTTTAACCAAATTTAAACAAATTTGTTGTTTAGGAAATATGAAAATCATAAGTAACAAGTACCTATGAAACAAAAAAAATTAACAAAATTTTTGCAACATTTAGCTATTTATGACTTACAAAATGTCTACTACAAAATTGTCTAATTTTCATAATAAATTTAACTTTAAAAAGCTTAAAGTATGTAACAGCTCTATTATAAATATAAATACATATGTATGTATGTGTGTGTTTAAGACTTTGAAAAAGACCCTTTAGGTCTTTTAGTAAAATTATAAATGCATAGAAAATAATGTTTAAACACACATAAATATAAAAACACTAGCAAACAGACAAACATAGACCACTAAAACAGTGGAAACTGGCAAAAAAGGCTACTCAAATATAATATATGTACATATTTTAGAAGATTTTGAATTATCGTGAGAAGAATTCTTTAAATATTTAGAAATATTTTTAAGATTTTGTAAAATCAAATAGTTTGATTTCCTTTAGGCCAAGTAATTACTGTTTTTCTTATAATGAGTAGATTGTTATATGTAAAACATATATATATGCATTTGTATATCGATATATGTGTTTATGCATTTGTATTACATTACATTATAAATTGCAATATTAGACATTAAATTTTGTTAAGTTTTAAAGGAAAGCTATGGCCCAAACATCTAAATTATAATTTAACAAAAAGGCTACTTAGAAATTTTGATAAATGCTTTTAAGAAATTTAAACACACAAACCTATATACATACATATCATTATATAAATATATACACACATATGTATGTATATGTATCTGTAATAAATATAAATGTTATACTGTTTAAAACGTCTTTTGTTGTGTTAAAATAATAGTTTTGAACGTTTGTCTAACAATACAAAAGTTGCCTCAAATGTGAATGAATGTGTACATATAATAATGGGAATGGGAAGATTTTAAAGGAATGAAATTATTAAAGCTAAAGATATAGCCACTAATGAGTCACTTACAAAATAACCTATATAATTTGATCCATATTATTCTGGATGAATGAGTTATAAATGGATCATTCACTCCAATGATCTTTATGTACTATCAAAAAGATGTCTGCGGTAGGTAAGTTGATGCTGTGCGATTCCCAAAAGAGGCTTCAGTGGAGGACAAGATAGATCCGGTGGTAGCCTAAGTGTATTTCTCCCGTAATGTACAGTATTGTTCAAAACCTTTTTTTTTTTTTTTTTTTCATTTTAGTTATTATTTATTGAATCTTTCTTACATAGAAATTTACAATAAGTATTGAAATCTTAACCTAAACTATAACTAACGTCGTTATTGCCACTGCAATTTCAACAAAAGTTCTCGATAATTTGATTATCTGGCAAAATCCAATGTTTCCGTTCTTCTCAGTCGTCTGTGACCCTCAAATGACAGCAACTCCCTGGCAAGGGGATTTGGGTGATCCATTAGTTTCGACAGGTAGGTTAAACAAGAGAGTTTGATCTCCTCGCGTATTATGGGGACATTGAGATCCCTATGAATATTACTATTGCGAATGTACCACGGGGCACCTGTTATTGACCTTAACAGTGCTGACTGCTTTCTTTGTAATTTTTCAACATTTGATGAGGAGGCTGTTCCCCACAGTTGAATGCCGTATAGCCATATCGGTTTTATAACTGTTTTGTACAAAAGCACTTTGTACTCCAAGTCTAGAGCAGACCGTGGTCCAATTAGCCAGTACAATTGAGCTGACTTTAATTTTATTTGTGTAACCTTGGCTTCAATGTGGTGAGTCCATGTTAAGCGGCGATCAAGGTGGATACCAAGATATCTCACATGGCTTTGTTCAGGAATTTTTATATTGTTTATCTGCACGGGAGGACAATTTTCCCTTCTTAAAGTAAATGTAACGTGAGTACATTTTGTAGCATTGACTTTTATTTTCCATTTGTCCAGCCATTTTTCCAATTCGCCGATGTGAAACTGGAGTTGTTCAGAAGCTATTGAAGGGTTTGCATGCATGCTTACAAAAGCGGTATCATCCGCAAATGTAGATGTGTGAGTCAGTGCGCTCGTTGGCATATCTGCAGTATATAAAATATATAGGAGCGGACCTAGAATACTCCCCTGGGGTACTCCAGCAGATATTTTTCGACGTGAAGAGATCACATCTTTAGATCTGATTTGAAAAGATCTTTCATATATGTAATTTTTAAGCAGTTTGTGAACATTCGCAGGTAGTAATGTGATAATTTTGTGTATTAGTCCATCGTGCCAGACTTTATCAAAAGCTTGAGAAATATCTATGAATAATGCAGAGCAATATTGCTTGCTCTCGAAGGCCTTTCGAATAAGAGTTGTTATTCGATGTACCTGTTCGATAGTGCTGTGCTTTCTTCTGAAACCAAACTGATGGCCAGGAATAATGCAATTATCGTTAAAGTGTACTAAAAGGCTTTCAAGCAATAACTTTTCAAAAAGTTTTGAGAATAAAGACAACAGGCTAATGGGACGGTATGATGTCACTTGAGTGACATCTTTCCCCGGTTTTGGTATCATAACAATCTCGGATACTTTCCATGAGTTAGGGAAGTATCCAATACGTAGCATCGAGTTAAAGATGAACAAAATAATTCTCAGTGCTGAATTGGGCAGGTTACTTATCATCGTGGTAGTAATTTTATCTATACCAGGTGATTTTCCTGCCTTTAGACCTTTGATTGTCATCTTCACGGTAGAGAACCGGAATTTTATTGGGTGTGGAACCACATTATTTATAATGTTAGCACTAATAGAAGAATCTGTATCATTTTGAGTAAACACATTCTCCAAGTGATTGGCGAATGCTTCAATTTTTTCTGACGTATT